TGGTTGGCCACTTCGCGAGACAGGATGCTGGACTAGACGGACCCTCACTGGTCTGATCCAGCAGGACTCTCCTGATGTTCTTATAAGGGGAAGGCCTTGGCCTCTCTGCCCTGTTGTTGGCCCTCCAGAGGAACTGGGTGGCCACTGTGTGAGACAGGATGCTGGACTAGGTGGACCCTCACTGGTCTGATCCAGGAGGGCTCTTCTGATGTTCTTCTCAGAGGAAGGCCTTGGCCTCTCTGCCCTGTTGTTGGCCCTCCAGAGGAACTGGGTGGCCACTGTGTGAGACAGGATGCTGGACTACATGGGCCACTGGTCTGATCCAGCAGGATATAAGGCCATAGAGTCCACACTCCCAAGCAGCCGTTTTCTCCAAGGTAACCAATCTCTGTAGCCTGGAGATCAGTTGTTATTCCGGGAGATCTCTAGGCCCCACCTGGAGGTTGGCAACCCTGTGAATTTGACCCTGCATTGCACATGGGTGTCAGTCAAGTACAACCCTGCCAACACGCTCCTGTGTCTGCTCAGCAGTTTTATCGCCAGCTATAAAAGCACTGCCTGAAGTACAAATAAATGTGGTGGTCATAAGGGGCCTCTCCGGGAATTGGAGCTCTCCAAAGAATGAAGGCCCTTAATTGCTTGCAGACAGCGTTTCAGTTGTGCCGGCTTTGCCCTCCTTAGCGAAACTCTTGACGCAAAGCAGCCAGCTTCTTCAATTGAGACCATCTGCTGGCCACTGAACGAGGGAGTTCTCCAGTCTCCAGATACACCACAGTACATGCCCCGATGGCGGGGGAGCATTAAAGGGAAATATAATTCCTCTGGATTTATTTCTTGCAGGGTTGAGTCTTGGTCCAGGAACAAACACCACGGCCTCCTCTCAGCAGTAGATTTAGAGAAGCCCTCTGAGTTCTCTGGATCTCCACCGGCTTGACCAGGAACAAAACCAAACCCAAACCAAACCCAAATTATCTTCCCTCTCTCCTCCACCAGCACCCCAGGGTGATTTCTCCCGCCCAGCCTTTCAGCAAATATTCGAAGTCAGCCACACAGTACTTTGCGGCTGTCGAAGCGATAGCCAAGCACAGAAAAACAAGTTGAGGGAGACGGAGGGAGGGAATCCCAAAGGTCTTTTCTGGTGAACGGGGAGAGATGGAAACATTCTTTCGGGCCTTTTGAAGAGCGTTCCTCTTTCAGTTCGTAATTTTCTGTGCCTTTGAGATTGCAAGTTCTCTGCTGGAAGCCAGCAGGTGAATAATCAAATTGTTCGTTGACATCAAGATGAGGTAGATGCAGCTCATTTCTTAGTTTAAGAAAAGTTTACTAGATAACATAGAGGAAAGGGTACATGGGAAGAAGAAGAGGAGGAGGAGGAGGAGAATTTATACCCCGCCCTTCCCTCGACGTCTCAGAGCAGCTTACAAACTCCTTTCCCTTCCCCTCCCCACAACAGACACCCTGTGAGGTAGGTGGGGCTGAGAGAGCTCTTTTGAAGACTGCTCTTGAGAGAACAGTTCTGAGAGAACTTGTGACTGACCCAAGGTCACACCAGCAGCCGCATGTGGAGGAGTGGGGAATCAAACCCGGTTCTCCCAGATTAGAGTCTGCACTCCTAACCACTACACCAAAAAGAACAACATCCTGACTAACTAGTTCCAAGTTCCATCTTGTCTACATCTCAGACCAGACTCGTACTGTGTGTGTGTGTGTGAGAGAGAGAGAGAGAGAACAAAGGAGAGAGAATTTACTCAGTGCCTCCACCTCCTAGTCTGTGTGACAGACAACATATAACATCCCCAATATACTAATTAACCAATAGCAGTTCC